TGGACGGACCAGGGGCTCACGTGGGTCTGGCGGGTCGCGCCAATGGGCGCTTCCGTACGTCAGGTGCCAAGGTTTACCCTGCAGGGCTTAACTACGTCGTGGCAGAAGCTTTCGCGGACTTTGTCGCTAGTCTGCATTTGAAGGCACACGATGGAGGCCTGAGTGAGGAGCTTAATGCTTTGCGTAGGGTTGGAGTGACCAAAGGTCATGATGAGATCCAGCCAGATTATCACCACTAGGCATCAGCGACATGTGCATGCCTTGAACCGCAAGTCCACCTGGACTTAGTATTCGCGAAAGGAAAAGGAAAAGGAGGTGTTGGACAGAGTGTTTCACTGATGAAACATGCTGACTCCAAGTGTTCGGCAAAGTGATTTCTATATGGAGTGCTTTGGAATCTGTCATGCGCTTTCATCCGTGCACAGCGAATGTGAGGGTTGGAAGAGGGGTGCGCACACATCCTACAGTCACTCACTCCACGGACTCACTCAGCTCATGGAGTTTCCTCGTGACCAGCTCATGCATGCTTGAACAATGGTCGATCACCCTCAACTGGGACATTAACGCAGAACAAAGTGGCATTCCACTTATTTCTATGCTTTGAGTTTGGTCTCATGAAACTTCTCAGCCAGTCACTTGGGAGCACAGAGGTTTTGCCACAAGCTGACACTTTGCAGCGCAACGTCCAGAGCAACTGTCATACCCAAAGAGCCAGGGTAACTGTCCAAACATGGACAAGAGCCACCAGGCCTTCTCATTGTATTTCCAGCACCCTTGGCTTTTGCCACAAACAACGGGCTGGGGAAGGGATCATGCATCAGACCGGGGTGCCTGGCTATGCTCCATTCAAGCTTCCCACTCAACCATGAAACATACTGTATCCCTTATTCTTTGAAGAGAAACCTTGTTCTTGCAGCGAGTAGCGACGCCCACGAATCTGAGAATCCTAAAGAGCCCACGATACCGGCGTGCCTTCTTGGATTTCTTCGCAAACACATGGTGGTGGGAACTTGTGAGCCATTAGGAAGAGTTTTTCTTTGAAAACACTCTCTCTCTCTCTACATCTCAAGGACGCTACTAGGAGCAAAGGGCATCGCTACTAGGAGCAAGTGCCTTACTAGTAGTAACAAGAAGCTACTAGGAGCAAAGGGCATCGCTACGAACGGAGCAAGAGGACACTACTAGGAGCTCTCTACCTCTCTCTCTCTCTCTCTCTCTCGATGCCACGCACGAGTGAATCGTTCGGATGCAAGGCTTGCAGCTCCCTGCGGCTTTATGGTGGTGTGGATCGGATGAAGTCAGCGTTTGCTGGCCTCGGAGCTCAGAAAGAGAGTTGCTAAAATCACCGCTTGGTCACTTAGTTACTTAGTACAGGAACCTAAGAGCGATGGCCTCCACCCTACTAGTGAACTCTTAGTAACAGTTTGATTCAACAACTCTTCAGAAAGCCTTTTTCCTTCTTTGAATGCGAAACATCCAAGCTCTTCAGGTTGGAGTCCCATTCAAGACTCAAGCTCAGAGTACGTCCAGGCGCGATTGTGGTGAAACCGACTGTGCTATGCTTTCTCGGCTCTAACAGGTGGACTTGGGCAAAGCTATTTGGGTGGACAGCCTAGCGTCGACCGCGCCGACGAGTCGACCGCGCGCGGGTTCTGACAAAGCGAATGTCGATTCGGTCTCCACCCTCAACAAAAACTATAGGGGCTAACACAAACTACTAGGTAAGCTGCTACAGATGCGTCCAAGAATAGCTCACACTTCAAGGAAGCTCCGCTGCCTCCTTGAAGAAGCGCTCACACTATACGAAGTTAGCTATAACAAGCAGGTAGTATCTACTAAGCGAACAAGAAGCTACTACGGATTGGACGCAGAGGGGCTCAGGCTTCCTCAAGGAAGAGACCTGAGCCTCCTTTATGGAAACTTGAGACGGCCAAAGCCGCAAAGCTTGTGAGTTTCTGGCTGTTTTGTTGTTTTTTGGCACCACCAAACATGCCTAGGTCAGCAGCTTTGCGATGCAAGGAAGGAGGCACATGAAAAACATCGCAAACAACGAATTCAACGAATAACCCCCTCATAAACCAACCGGCCTCCAACCTACCAGCGATGGCCTCTAACCTAGTAGCGATTTGTTAAGTGATGTTGTGATTTGTTTCTTGTTCTCTACCGTGTTCACGCTGTTGCCTGCTAGGCCCATCAGTGGTGATTGGGAAGCAACTCGGCCGTTGCTTGCAGAGGCACGGCTGCCTGTAAAACATGCACCAGACATCCACAGTGCTCTGTTTTTTGAAGAATAAGGGCACTCAATTCGAAAGACCCACAGAAGAAACATGGAATGGATTTTTCCACCCGGAGCGATCTCTGCCGAGTTACTTGACCCTGGTGACCCGCTGCCACCGAACAGGCCAGAAAAGGAAAGACGCTTCTATAGAACGTTTCAGAGATATGAACTGTTTGGTAACAAGAAGCTAGTAGTAACAAGTGCATCGCTACTAGTAACAAGTGCCGTACTAGTAGTAACAAGAAGCTAGTAGTAACAACTGTTTTTGTGTCTCGGCGAATCTGGAAAACGAGCGGAGAATCAAACCTTGAGGATTTTCAAGCGCCCACCGGTGCGCCTCATTCATGACGTCGTCGTAGTTGATGCCTCAGAAACGAACACGCGAACATGCAGAGGGCAACGATGTGGTGAGTCCATCACAGAATTAAACAAGTGAGGAGGTTGTAGAACTTTAAGATTTTGATGCTCTTGTTGAGTTCTTGTAGCTCTGTTCTCTTACATCTTACTTCCAAAATCAGTTCATCTTGAGAATTTGGACGCAACACGAAGGGGAACTGAAATCTCCGCTTTGGGGAAAGCGGAACCGGATGGACAGAAAGACGATTTGCCGTACGGAACTCCGTCTAGTCTAGCGTCGCTTGTAGGTGAAAAAGAATCGAATGCAACATGTGCGAACTACGCGACGCCCGGGATGGATTTGAAAAGGACAGCACGGTTGGACTAGTAGAGCCAGGAGGGAAAGCTTACACCCAACCCAAGAGAGAGAAGAGAGAGAGAGAGAGAGAGAGACAAGATGCATGACGGCCTCTTAGGTTGCGAAGACATGCGCAAGTGCACCCAATTGGCACCCAATCATTGTTGCGGTTTGCCATTTGGAACTACTCTCATGCACATCGCCACCTCTTGATTTGACATCCTCCAACTGTTCTTGGTTTGGGGTGTTTGGGGCGCCTGCACACATCGATGTAAGCCTCACTGCAGTGAGACTCTATCCATCCTCAGGGACATGCACAAGGGGCGCAATGGGTCCCGTCACTCCGCCCATCACATTTGATCAACCAAAAAGGAAAAGCAAAGGAAGTCGCCAATGCGTCAAAGCCATCGTTGCATCAAACTGCATTGCCGCCCTTGCTCCGCCGTTCTGTCGTCTCCATCGCCCCAGGCGGTCCATGCTCGTCACCAAGCTTTGACCGCCGGAAAGTCGGACGCCGAGACGTCGAAAGACGTGAAGAAGAGATGAACGAGAGAGCTGCGACAACTTTTCATGTTTTATTTTTTACAGCCAAGGGCAAAGCCTGCGACTAAACATGCACAAATTACAAATTTAAGGGCTGCCGCCCAGTGCCGCCGACCCCAGGAAGGGAGACAAAAGAGGTGTGGGGCGGACAGAAGGCATGGTGACGCGTGGGTGGTAGCGCAGAACACGCGGCGTGCTGCATCGGGTACGTGGAATCCCCAATGTGAGGAGGGGGCGGGGTAAGCATTAGAGATATTGAAGGGTGTGGGGCAGACAGTGGGGCCAGTAGAGGGTGCAGGCAAGAGATGAGGTAGGTGGTAGGGAAGAATACATGGGGACTCCACGGCGTGCTGCATCGGCTACGTGGAATCCCCAATGTGAGGAGGGGGCAGGGAGGGGGTAAGCATTAGAGATATTAAATAAAGGGTGTGGGGCAGACAGAATGCATGGTGACTCCACGGTGTGCTGCATCGGCTACGTGGAACCCCCATGTGGATGTTAAGGGGCTGAGGGACGAAGCAGGGACAGGGCTATGGCAGTGGGACGGGGTAAGTAGAGGGTGCAGCCAAGAGGGATGAAGTGGGAGAACAGAAGGAATGGAGTCCTTATGGTCCCTATGTGGAGGTTTACTTGGGGTGGCAATGGGACATGGCGCCAGTAGAGGGTGCAGGCAAGAGATGAGGTAGGTGGTAGAGCAGAACACATGGGGACTCCACGTCGTGCTGCATCGGTTATTGAAGGGTGTGGGGCAGACAGAGGGCACGGTGACTCCGCACTGTGCTGCATCGGCTACGTGGAACCCGCACGTGGATGTTAAGGGGCTGGAGGACGCAGCAGGGATGGGGCTTGGTTTTGAGGAGGAGGCGCGGACGGTGCAAGTAAAGGCGCTGGGTGGCAGAGAGAAGGCATGGTGATGCAACAGGCATGAGCAGGGGGGGTGCAGATAGAAAGCAGGGTCACTCCACGGTCTGCTGCAAGCTAAGATGTGGTGGAAGACTAGGTCGATGTGCTGCGCTCGTTTGGGCCTGGCGTCACAAGTTGAACGAGCGCGGAGAAGTAGGCCAACCCAGGCTTGGTGAGCAACCAGCCGCGATGCACCGGGGTGATGCCAAGAGGTGGTTGGAGACTGAATGATGCTAGATTTTGTTTTTGTTTGTGAGTGGGAGCAGAAGTGGAATGATTTTGTAGAAGGCACGAGGTCGTTTGACACTGACGCTAGATTCTGTGTTTGTCTGCGATTGGCAGCAGAAGTGGACATGAACGTGCAGAAGTAGGAAGGTGTTAGTATGCAGAGGCATGGAGCCAATCTGCGTGCCAGCCTCAATGCACCGTGGTTTTTGCGCGGTTGAGGTACACTGTTCCAAAGAAGCCAAGAGGTGGTGTGAGACTAACGCTAGTTTTTGTATTTGTTTGTTTCTGGAAGCAGAAGTTCCTACAAGCGTGGAAGTCGGACGATGCTGGAATGGAGAGGCGTGGAGCCAATCCATGAGCAGGCGCGCGGAGAAGTAGGCAGATGTTGTTATGGAGGGCAGTATGGAGCTAAGCCAGGCCGCAATGCACCGTGGTGCCGCCAGCGGCGAGGTAGAGTGATGGTGTAAGGCAAGAGGTGGGTGCTAGATTTCGTGTTCGTTGGTGATTTTTCTGTTGGGGTTCTATCTTAGCGAGCTTTTGTGTTCGTTTGTCACGAAAGCGATCTCCGAAGGAGGTCAGCTGAAGTTCTAGTTTACGATTAGATGGGTCAAAATCGAAGGGATCAATTGCAAAATCACTGCAAACGGGCCCCCCACCCCCCCCACTTCGTGTGAAGTGAATCAATAGACCCCCCCCAAAGGGACACGACGTCACAAACATCATGTCAGGGGATTATTTTTAAGGTGTTTTGACGATCGTCGTCGTCATCGCTTTCGTTCCCCGCCTCTCAAGTGATTTTACTGGAAGACGCTGGAATGGAGAGGCGTGGAGCCAATCCATGAGCAGGTGCGCGGAGAAGTAGGCAGATGTTGTTATGGAGGGGAGTATAGAGCCAATCCAGGCGCGGAGATCGAGCAAAAGTGCTTGTGTAAAAGTCAAGAGGTGGGTTGCGAGGAGTGACTAACGCTAGATTTTGTGTTCGTTTGTGATTTTACTGATACTGTTGGGGTTCTATCTTAGAAACGAAGAGCCTCCTGCCATCCCTCTACCCACTGCCCGGCCCAAACCTCACTCCTCAGCCGAATGAAAAAATCAAGGTTCTGGCAGGCAATTCCACTGTTCCAGGCACAGAAACCAAGCCACGGCGCGACGGAACAGCCTCCTAGAAGACACCCTTCGAATCAGGAAAGCACCCTGGCACGGCGTGACGGAACAGCCTCCTGCCGTCCCTCTGCCCGGGCCAAACGTCGCTCCTGAACCGAATGAAAAAATCAAGGTTCTGGCAAACGTCACTCCTGAACACCGAATGAAAAAATCAAGGTTCTGGCAGGCAATTCCACTGTTCCAAGGCACAGAAAGCAAGCCAGAAGACACCCTTCGAATCAGGAAAA